TATTTTATTAGATTTATAACCCGTCCATCTGGACCAAAGATCTACTATGGGCAACAGGTAATTATCACACCTAAATGGAAAGACAACTGCTGAGATCTGACAAGGAACATCAATAGATTAAGGATTAGAATAGAGACACAGAGAGAATAAACAGGGAGAGAGATGAGCTGAGTTGCAAAATGCACTGACCAAATTTATTGGCACCCATAGCTTACTATTTGGTAGCACCCCCTTTGGAAAAAATAACTGAAACCAATCACTTCTTGTAACCATGAATGAGTTTCGTACTGGAATTTTGGACCACTCTTCCACAGGTGTTATTTGGGATTCAGATCTGAACTCATTGCTGGCCATTTCAGAACTCTCCAGCATTTTCTTTGTAACAATTTCTGAGTGCTTTCTGAAGTGTGTTTCCAGATCACTGTCCTGCTGGAAGACGCATGTCCTCTGTTGAAGACACAGCTTTCTGACACTGGCCACTATGTTGCACCCTAAAATTCTTTGGTAATCATCAAATTTCATGATACCATTTCACACAGTCAAAGCATCCAGTGCCAGAAGCAGCAAAGCAACCCCAAAGCATCTTTGAACCTCCCCCATGTTTGACTGTAGGGACTGTGTTCTTTTCATTGAAGGCCTCATTTCTTTTTCTGTCAACAGTGCCATATGTCCTTTATCAAAAAGCTTTACTTTTGTCTTATCTGTCCACAGTACGTTCTCCCAGAAAGATTGTGGTTTTGTCACATAAGTTTTGGCATACTCCAGTCTTGCTTTTTTATGCCTTTGTGTCAGCAATGGTGTCCTCCTGGGTCTCCTACCTTTTCATTCAGATGGCGACGGATAGTGTGAGCTGACACTGTTGTACCCTGTGTCTGTAGATCATCTTGAATTTGTTTGGAAGTTAATCTGGGTTCGGTATCCACCATTCAATAATTTTTCTCTTCCGTACACAACCAGGGAGGTTAGCTACAGCGCCATGGGCTATAATCCTCTCGATGATATTGTACACAGTGGACGCAGGAACATTAAGATCTCTGGAGATGGACTTGTAGCCTTGTGATTGTCAATGTTTTTCCCCAATTTTCTCTCTCAAATCCACAGACAACTCTTTACACTTCATTCTTTTCTCCATGCTCATTATCACACACAACACAAATGTCGAGTCAGCTTTTCTCCATCTTAACTGGCTGCAAGTCTGATCACTATATTGCCCACACCTCTTACTTGCAACAGGTATGCCTAAATAAAAGTTAAAGGAGCATCACATGCTTGAAAAGCAATTATTTCTTACAACTTAGACACGGTGCCAATAATTTTGGCCAGTGCATTTTTGGGTTTCTGTGTGGGATTGTATCAGATTTGACTTTTCTTCTCTGTTGTTTTGTGTTGTTCCAATGCAAACCAAAGAAATGAACATGTGAGTACCAGAACATTTGCAACTGCAACAATTTTCTGAGAGAAGGGTTGCATTTTCTGATGGAATTGCAAGGGTGCAAATATTTTTGGCCATGACTGTATGTCTAGAGGAACAATGAAGCATACGCTGAAAAGAACTCTCTGTCTACATTTAAGCATGGTGGTGGCTTGGTAATGTTATAGGCTGCTTTGCATCCTCTGGCGCTGGAAACCAGCAGCGTGTAGAAGGAAAGGTGCATTCCCTGAGGTATCAGGATATCCTAGGACAAAACATCATGCCATCTATGAGGAACCTGAAGCTTGGGCATCATTGGACCTTCCAACAGGATAATGATCCCAAGCATACCTCAAATTCCACTAAGGCTTGGTTGCAGAGGAAGCCCTAATCGGTTTGAACCACATAGGAGATTTCTGATAGGATAGATTCCGCAGGAATGCTGCCAGAAGCTGGTGTCTGGCTATGTAGCAAAAAGGTGCTCTACTAAGGACTAAAGATTCTTGCTTTGAAGGGGCTGAATAATTTTGAGACTGCAGAATTAATTAAAATCGCATTTTCAACTGAATTTGGGGAAACCACTTGAATCTTTTGTTGTGTAAAGCTATTCCAATTGCTTTTCTTTGGTTTGTTCATTTCAAACAGTTTAAAGTCTGAAATTGTTTTACAATAAATCTGATTTGTAATGGGGGTTGCATAATTTTGATTACATTGTAAATATTAAAAACATTAATGTGGTTTTGGGTTGGTTTACTAAGCTGCCATTGGAATGATGGGTGTCCAAGCGGACAGTAGAATGATGCCAGCTATTGTGAGTGCCTTTCTGTGTCCCATACAGACACACATTATGGACAAAACACATGCATGCTCTATACTGTAAAGAAATACATCCCACTGAGTTCAGTGGGATTTATTCCAATATAAATTTGAACAAAGCTACAGTTTAACCTCTCTGGACTAGATAATGGATGCTCTGTATAACATGTTTTATAAATAACCATTTCTATGAACTGCTCTAGTAAGGCAAAAGATCACCAGATCAGGCATAAGAAATCTACAATCACATACCAGAGAATAAGGCTCAGCTGCATTCAAAACTATGAGCACAGTAACAAACACCGAGGAACAGTGACCAAGGCCTTTACCTTTAGTTTCACTTTATACGCTAAATGAACACCTAAAAGCCAGCAAACATGGTTTTGAAAACCCTTCTCCAAATACGCAATATCCATACATTTTGAGATTCAAACAGGAATAGTTTTTTTTTACACAAATGCTTTTTCTTATTCATAGAAATGCCTCTCGAAGGTATATTATAATACACTATAAATTGGTAAAAGCCAGTTTAGTGCACTGGATAGAGTACTGGACTGGGGCTCAGGAGAACTGGGTTAAAATCCCTGCTTCACCAAGTCGACTCAGTGGAGGGTGGCAATGGTAAACTATTTCTTGAACACTGCATGCACCATGTAAGTGTCAGAAGTGACTTGGCAGCATTTAACTACACAACTTCAGATATACAACAAAAATGAAAAACAAAGAAGTGATAGCACCTTAAGACAGATTTATTTATGCCAATAAAGTTTACATATACAGTATATGTAGTTCTGTGTGAGCTTTCATGAATTACAATCCACTTCCTCAAATGCAAGGAATAAAGTACAAGCCAGAAAGATCACATTAAAGCTGCTGTCTTTTCTACTTCCACCAAAGCTCTACAGTTAATTCTGCTCTACCACTTAGGCCCATTTCTACATACCAACTTATGTTTTCTATACTCATTAACACAAATGTTGATGGTTCATATTTTATTTTAGACAAGGGACAGGAAACCTTTTGCCCACAAGTTGGATGATACATATATGTAGGTTTCTGGTCTTGCCACAAGCTTCCTTTCTTTGATCAATGATCAGAGACATGAGGGTATTTAAAGACACTTGAATAGAACCCTCTGTAGGATATTTGAAGTTTAACGATGCTGCGAAGAGCTGAGGTGTATTTCACAGGCAGGTGGGTTGTTCTCCAGAATTGTGCTGTGTTCTGGAGAACATGAGTGGGCAAAATAAAACTACTGTCATTCAATTTTGCTGCTAAATAAACATGCGGATGGGAAACTTTCCACACTGATAAGATTTACGTTTGGCCCATCCATTTTGCTTTGGCCTCACCCAAAGTATCCTTGGCTGTCCCATGTCCTTAACTCATCCACTGGTGGCATGCAGCCTGAGATATTTCCTAACTGGAATTTAACCCTTGAGCTGAAAAATGTACCTTCTACTCATCCCAGTGCTTTGGTTAGATGATCTAAAATCCTCAGGAACAGAATATTCTGATCTAGTTTCAACAGTATGATTTACCACCTGGTATATCCTTCTGCTCTCTGTATTCTCCATGTTTCCCTGATCCCTCTCCATCCTGTGCCATAACAAGGTGGTGTGATGAAAGTGTCAGGTAATTAGGGAGGTCAGAAGCTGCCTTGTTATAAGTCCAAACACTGGTCAATCTAACTAGTATTGTCTATTAGAGACTGGATTTTCAGATTTGACTCACTAATCCTTTATTCTGGGAGTTCTACCAACCCTGCAGACACCTTAAATAGCCTGAGAAAAAGACCTAAATTGGAAGACTTCAGGCCTAGCTCTGTCCATGTTTCCTGCTCAGAAAGAAAGCTCCCAACTAACCCTTAGGTAGCTACAGAAAGCTTGAGTGGAGCTTGGCTTCACTAAGCCTCAAAGCCTTTCAATTTAGGCCTTTCTCTTAAGTGCATCAAATTTAGGTTTTGTGAGGTATCTGTAAGGTAGATGAACTCCCAGAATGAAGAATTATGGTATCTGTAGTCCAGAAATTCTGATATCTATTGGCTATAAGAAAAGCCAGCAACTCTTCATTATCTTAGCCAAAGATCTACATTGCAGACTGTTTCTTTGAAAATGCCATGGAGTATGGTGCTTTATCCATGACTACAACACTAAGATTTTGTTGCCTAGACTGTCTTGGCAAACATACTTCAACAAAACAAAAATTTTATGCTTGTTATAGTGAAGTGCTTCACCGAGGTATGGTTGAGATAGCAATGTCCTGCATCCCAAGAAAAACAAAAATTATTTTTGAATTTTTATTTTAATATTAAAACCCAAATTTCAGGTGATTGTATAAACATACACACAAAACAAAGATCATTCTGGTCCTTGCAGAGTTCTCTGTACACTCCCATACTCTGAAGCCTCATTAGCTTCCATACAAGAGAAAAACAATCCATGCAGAAACATATGTACCTTCCCTGCTTTTGCACCTATCAAAATGTAAGCAATAATGCAAAATGGAATGCTATCTTCAGCAAGGTTTATTCCCCAACCATATGTGGAGTAGGGATGATGCACAACTAAAGCTGAAATGTCTTGGAATAGTATAATATCAATAGTTCTTCCCTCACTGGAAGGAAGTTTTTAATGCATATTCATGCTATAGTGGGTGTCTCTAAGTCTATCCTGAACTGAACGAAGAGGAGAGGAGAGGGAGGGACAGAAAGAGGAAATTCTTTTAAAATGTAGCAGTAAGCACACACACACACACACACACACACACATACCATGTCTTCGCCTTCAAACTGTGCATTGTACAGTCCTGCATCCTCTTCCGGTGTTCTTTTCACAATATTCCTGCATATGAGCCATATGGTCAGACCGGCTATAAACATACCAATATCAGGAAGAAAAATTCGGATTCCATTGCCTGCATCTGCCCCTTTGACACTGCATGGTATTGAAAGAGGGAGAGAGAGAAATAATGCCAGTTATCGTCATCATCGTCACCATCAGGTTTTGTGCCATCTCAAGCATTAACAACATTTACCTTTTGTGGACTGTGCCCCACTCCTCTATGCTTCTGGAGAAGGCTACAGTCTACGAAAGCTTAGGCCAAATAAAACCTGTTAGCATCTAAGACAGCACAAACCTCCTTGTTATTTTTCCTGCAACAGATTAACATGGCTACCACTCTGGAAAAATCATCATCATGTTGTCATCATCATCAAAATACTTCTACATTTTTTCTCATTTGGACAAATCCAAACCTGCATCCAACAACATTATAAAATCACAAAACAAACTGATACAAATCCAGTGATACTATGTCCAAGCAGCCCAGGATAGGTCACAGCTGGAGAAAAGTCAAGGATAAAAGGTACTGGCCAGAGTCATTTCGGATATTTCCACAAATGCAAGTTCTATGGCTAACCAATCAGGTGTCAGCTCCACTCCTGATCACATATTCAGTTACGTACCCAGCACATACCTACCTGGCAGCCTGCTAATCAGCCACAATTTGTTGTTTTAGCTGCTGCAAACATAAATATCCAAAAGGATTTTGACCAGTGCTTCAATTACTAGTTTAAACAAATTAGCACTAAGGTCTGATGTACTATAAAGAGGACATGATTTTTCAGGGCAGATGCCCATGTAGAGAAGGCCCATCATGTCACTAACAAGCAAAAATCCATAGTTCACGGAACAAGCAACATGACCTTTCCTGAAAACTGTGTTTGTATTGGGGAAACATTCTTTGAGGTGATCTAGGACCGGGTTATATATGACATTGTATATTAATACTTCAAAATTTCATCAGTAGTCAACTGGCAGCCAGAACAGATCTTGGTGATGTATCACATCTTCTTCAATAAGTATCAGTTCAAATGTTGTTAATGTAGTATATAGCAGTGGTTCTTAACGTGGGCAATAATGCCCCCCAGGGGGCGATTTCATTTTCCAGGGGGGCGGTAGAATGAAAAGGGGCGGTGTGGGGGCGAAAGAACAGAAGGGGGCAGTAGGGGGGCGCTGGAGTGAGCCAAACCTGTGAAGGCGACTGCAGCCACAGTGCTGGCAGTAGATCCGGTGCTGCTGCTGCCACCAGATGATCCAGCTCTTTCTACCTGCCACGTCTCGCCTTTTTCCTTCAAGGCAGCACTGAGTGTGGATCGGGTGGAAGGAAGGGGGCTCTTGGGTCCTCATCCTCGCCCCGTGCAGCGCTGCCTCGCATCCGGGTGGGGAGGGAGACTAGGCAGGCAGGCAGGCAGGTAGGTAGGTAAGATATCATCACCTCAGGGAGGGGGGCGATGATAACTTCCTCAATGGCTCAAGGGGGTGTTTCTTTCAAAAAGGTTAAGAACCACTGGTATATAGCATGTGGACATATTTATTGTTTATGACTAAAGATAAAGCATAATCTTTATGGGTCAGTTCACACAATCTGTAAAGAGGAAATTCTTAAACTGTCTGCAATGATAATAGAAATATGATCTATGCAAGCATAATTCATCATATAATCATCATATAATACATGTAGTCTAGAGGGAGAATAGTAGCTGTTTTAATAGAAAAAAGGAGCAAACACCCTGTTATGTAAGCAGTGTACTTTGTTATATATGCACTATACATCCCCATTTGATACTGTTGGTGGTTAAAGCAGTAGTTTTACTTGTTATTAAAGAAAATTAAAACAGAAGGACTCTACAGAGCTATTGGTGCCGGACAGTTCTTCCAATAATTCTACAATCTGGGTTGTGCCCAGTAGTGTCATTCTACTAGATCAAATTTTCTATTATATGCAGGAACCATGTTTTTGTCTATCCCATTACTTTTTAATTTATTTTGTTCTTTTTTTGAGAGAGAGAGAGAGAGAGAGAGACTCTACATGATCTCCTCTGCACACCCAGTTCTTGGCCTGCCCACCTCACAAAAATGCCTACTTCTACACTACACAAGGTCTGCCACTACTTGTATTCTGTCTGCTATCACCATGTCAGATTAAACTAGAAATCTGAATATCATAGATTTAGTAAAAGACACTCAAAAAATAAAGGAACATAATTATAGTAAATTAAAAGGAGATATTAAAAAGAAACTACAGGAATATACTAAGTTAAAACATTCTTGTTTTGGAAATATCACACTGATAAAAATGAAGAGTCTACCAATTTTTTTAAAAGAATGTTAACAGAAGATGATTTTAAATTTTGGCAAGGAATTATTAATAAATATTGTAATGAAGGGAAGAGAGCCAGAATAAATAAAAAGTACTGGTATAAAATAAAAAAAGGAGGTACAGTGGTGCCTCGCTTGATGACATTAATTCGTTCCAGCGAAATCGCTGTAGAGCGAAAACATCGTCAAACGAAATTAAAAAACCCCATTGAAACGCATTAAAAACCGGTTAATGCGTTCAAATACCTAATCGTCCAGTGAAGATCCTCCACACGGCGGCCATTTTTCGGGTGCCTGTCTTGCGAAAAATACCTTCTAAAAACAGCAGGGAGCCATTTTAAGCACTCAGCGGCCATTTTGAAAACCCAATGATCAGCTGTTTTGATTGTCGTAATGCGAAGAATCGGTTCCCGAAGCAGGGAACCGATCATCAGGAACCAAAAAAAGCCCATTAAAACACTGTTTTGTGATCGCAATTGCAATCGCAAAAACATCGTCATGAAGCGGATTCGTCATTATACGGGGTAATTGTTAAGTGGGGCATGACTGTGTAGGCATACCAAATATTAAAAAATTATTATATGGCTAATCAGTTAACGTTTATTGGGGAAATTATATATAACCCAGAAAGGTTAATTGGGTGGAAAATGGAATCATCAGAATTACAGGTAGATATAGAAAAACATCTATTTGTTATGATTAAGAAATATAAAATAAACGAAATTAATAACCTGTTTTTAAAGACTATGTTAAACATCTGGAATAAGTATAGAAAGAATTTATTTAACTTTCCATTAAGATTGATGCCTGAAATAGAGAATTTTCCTGTCACTATGAAAGTTTATGCAGAATTATTTAAAGAAAAAAAAGTGATTAGATTAAAAGACTGGTTATATAAAATGAGATTGAAAGATCAAATGAAACAAATCCTTCAAAATAAGAATATATCATGGTTGAATTATATGCAGTTAGAAAGATGGACTAATGAATGGGTAAATAAGTATAATAAAGGTAGAGAATATACAAAATATGAACAATTTCTATTATCATATGAAGATATTCAGATGACTGATTCAGTAAAGGGTGCAGTGAGTAAAATTTATTAATTCCTGCTTGATCTAGAAGAAGAAGAGACTGAGAAAGGATTGAAGTTAATGTGGGAACAGAACAGGAAAAAGAATAAATGATGAAGAATGGAGGAAGATGTGGAAAATGAGGGTTTTAAGATTTATGTCAGTGCGAATAAGAGAAAAAAAATTCTAATTGGGTTTAAGATGGTATTTAACACCAACAAAAATGAATAAAATTAACACTAGTTATCTGAATGTCTGTTGGAAATGCGAGAAGGACATCGGTACATACTTTCATATGTGGTGGGAATGCGAAAAAGTACAAAGATTTTGGAAACTAATCTTTAAAGAACTAAATGACATATGTGAAAAAGATATAGAATTTAATCCTGAGATAGCTCTGTTATTAATATTTGAGAATGTGAAATATGATGACTAAAGAATTGATCACCAATTTATTAACAGCAGCTAGATTAATAATAGCTGGGAATTGGAAATCAAAGTCTGAATTTCAGATGGAAGACTGGTATAATGAAATATGGAACATTGCTATAAATGATAAGTTAATTTGTAACCTAAAGGTGAAGAAAGGAGAGATGAAAAAGAATAATTGTTATGATACATAGGGCAGATTTTTGGAATACGTGCTAACAAGAGGAAAAGGGAAAGCTCCAAATCAAGAATCAATGCAGTTCTGCAGAAAAGGACAATAAAGGAAGAAGAAGAATAATGATAGAAGAAGAGGATTACTGCAAAAGGTCCTGACTATGGTGGTGGAGAACACAGTCGATTTGTATTTTGGTTTATGTGTTTTATGTTTATGTTGTAGGTAAAATAAAATAAAATACAAGCTGAAGAAAGCATTGGTATCTGGGGAAAAAAGAAAAGAATCTGAATATCAATCACCTCTCACTGCAAGAAGAAACTGCGTGGAGGGTCACTCTTTCCTCTTTGTTTTCAGATTTCTCTAAGTGATTTGTATTCCTGCACTGAGCAGGGGGTTGGACTCAGTGGCCTTATAGGCCCCTTCCAACTTCATGATTCTATGAGAGATTTTTTTACATGAGAAATCTCATGAGATTTCTTGGAAAGTTTTTATGTTCATTTTTTTAATGACCGCTTCACAAGAGTGTTACATATTTCCTGCATAGACATGTTTCCTGCATAGATTTATCCTGAAAAGGGGAGAAGAAACATCAAGCTGTGAAAAATGGTTAAAATTCTATGCAGAATGGTATCTTCCTATAAGGTATTAACTCCTACAAAACTTCTGTTTCCTGTACAAAACATGTGAAACAAGAAAGAGGAGAAAAGGCAAAATGAAATCAAAGTCTCATTTTCACAGAAAACTGGGAAACATGGTGAACTACATACAAATACACTATGATACCATATCAGACATCAACACATAAAGTCAATTCAACATTTTATCTAGTTATTTTTAATGTTGATTTAATGTTTTATCCAACAGGAAGAATATCATAACAGTATCATAAATGTACATTGGGTTATAGTACAGTATATATAAAGATTTTTTTTCCAAATTGTGTGCACAATTGGAAATACTGATGAAAGATAAAAGACAATGATCATTTGTCTCAACATGAGTTTGCTACAGATAGAAATTCAGCAATGAAAACCAGTTTTGCACTAGATCACTAAGGAAAGATCATAGTACCCCCTCAACATGTTGACAACATAATC